AATCTTAATTAATATAAATTAAAATTTTATCTTAGTTAATTATTACATTTGACAAAAAATTTAAACTTCAAAAATAAAATGTTATAAAAAATAAAAATATATGTACTATAATTAATATTTTTTAAAAATTTAAGAGATAACTTGTCTACACAAACTCTCCTCTGTTAGTCTAGTTAACCGAATATTAGTTAAATAAATCATTTTAAAACAAAATTAATAATTTATAAATTATTTTAAAAAAAAAATTATTTGTAAACTAAACTAAAATAAATTATATAATTAATAGATTATTTATTGAATTCAACCCTATAAATCTAAAAAATATGATTGTGAACATGATATTTATTGATGATTCAAGAAAAAAAATTGAGATTACAAAAAATGGGAAACAAATAGCCAACAACTAGAAATCTAACCGTTGCTATTGAAAAGGCCGTTGATCCAATAGCTGGAAGAGTCAATGACATAACTAGAAATCTCCTCTGTTTCTCTTCACTTCATTTATCAAATGACTCTCCGCAGTAATCTGTGTCGGAAAAGTTCATTCAAACAGAAGACCAGGACACGGATAAGTGGATAACAGCTCATAAGCACGTGACTACTTTCAGTAAAAAGAGAACTTAAAGACTTTTAAGTTCGACCACAAACGTGACCTCGGTTTGAATCACAGATAATTCTAATTAGTATTACAAGAGAAAGAATGCAAGGGCTCTTAGAGTGGAAAATACTTTGAATCTCTGATGTTTTCATTTATTTTTAGTAAAGTTTAGGAGTAATTCTTATTGAAATTTAAATAGGTCATGGACTTAATTGATATTAAATTTTTTTTTTTACCTGAGGCTTATGACTTGATGATTATATATCTAATTGTAAGATATATTTTTAATTTTAAGATTGAGTTTCGAACTCCCTCTCAAAAATTGTAATATGATAAAAAAAATTGATATTAATCTGTTTTTTCAGAGCCACGTCAAGGGAAACTAACGGCGCCTGCATGACTCGTCCGCTATATTAACGGAGATAAACGGTAGCCGTTATATATAAGGGGCTAATTTACTATTGGGTAATTTAGGAGGTATCTGCTTAAAAGTTATTTTAGGGGACTACATAAAAATACGGAAGAAGTTTAATGGGCTTAACAATGGGTTCTGCTTATATACACCTCTTTAGATCGACTCATTCTCAGACAATTAGCAGCCTCTAAGAAAGACTGGTGCGTTGCATATATTTCTCCACTCCGCACACTCTCTCACTCTGCATTTGGCTCCAACACCATCAATTGACAAAGACTCATATATTCTGAGGTCAGAGGTAGTTATATATTTGAGTTCATTCTTGATCTATTGATTGTTTCTGTCTATTTTTTTTTCAATTTTATCAGTAAATAAATGTTTTTTTATTATTTTGGTATTAGAGATACCTTAACCTTTTCATCAAACTCTACATTCCCACAAATCTCCTGCACGTTTCAACTACAATTTTTCTCACAGCATAAAATAAAGAAATTGAATCCAATTACTTTAAAGTAAAAGCTAAGCCCTCCGTTTTTCATTTGATCCAGATAAAAGACTTAATCTCTGCATAAACTCAAACAATATATCTTCCTTCATTCAGCTGACCCCCTCCAAACAAAATATTGATCCTTTCCAACCAAATAGCCCACAGCACTATACAACTAATGAGGGACCCCGACTCCTTATTTTACAAAATAAATCCAGCACGAACTGCAGACATAAATCATTAATTGACCTTCGGCATACAAGGGAAACATTCCACCAGTTGCAGCATTTCATCCAAATTTTACAGGATATAAGTAGCAAATATTCAAATAAATTAGGTTTGTACTAACGATTCTGTTAGTCAAGTGATAGGAGATTGGATTTTTTAAAATAAAGTTTTGAGTTTTAAGTTTAGGAATAGAGGAAGATTTTATAACGTTTGACTTGATTCAACTTTAGATTAATAGAGGGTTAATGTGATTTTTAGATACTGGGTGTTTAGAACTCGTTTGTTATAGTGATTAAAATTCAATGGTAGTGGGTAATGGATAATAAATAATGGATAACAATAGTAAGTAGTAGTAGATGGTAGTTAGTGAATAACGGGTGATAAATAATAAAAAGTATATAATAGATAATGGATTTTAATTGATATAATTATTTAATTATATAATAATTAGTAATTGTTATTTAATCTTAAATAATCAATAAGGACATGGTTAAA